TTGAAGATTTTTGCATCTATATTCATGAGGGATATTGGTCTGTAGTTTTCCTTTTGGGTGATGTCTTTTCCTGGTTTTGGTATTAAGGTTATCATCTTTGCTTTTTAATACTTTTTTTTTCTTTTTAAAACTTTTTATTGTGCTTTGATGCTTCTTAACACTTTAAAGAGGTCTCTGGCAGTAGATTTGCCCAGTGCAGTATACCATGTGATTTCTTGACTGCTCCTCCTATGGGTATTGATTATGGCTCTAAGTAAAATGAAATCTTTGACAACATCAGTCTTTTCTCCATTTATCATGATGTTGCTTATTGGTCCTGTTCTGAGGACTTTTGTTTTCTTTATTTTGAGGTATAATCCATACTGAAGGCTATAGTCTTTGATCTTCATCAGTAAGTGCTTAAGTCCTCTTCACTTTCAGCAAGCAAGGTTGTGTCATCTGTATATCGCAGGTTGTTAATGAATCTTCCTGCAATCCTGATGCCACTTTCTTCATATAGTCCAACTTCTCAGATTATTTGCTCAGATACAGATTGAATAAGTATGGTGAAAGGACGCATACCTTTCCTCAATTTAAACGATGCAGTATCCCCTCATTCTGTTTAAACAATTGCCTTGACTCATAGCGACCCCTCCTTGGGTTTACGAGGTGGTATCTCTACAGAAGTAGATTGCCCAATCTTCCTTCCGAGGAGTGGCTACTGGGTTTGAACCACCAGCCTTCTGATTAGGAGTCAAATGCCTTAGGCGCTACGCCAGAGCTCCTCGTCCATGTACAGGTTCCTCAATTAAGTGTTCCTGGAATTCCCATTCTTTGTAGTATTGTCCATAATTTGTTATGATCCACACAGTAGATGCCTTTGCATAGTCAATAAAACACAGGTAAACATATTTCTGGTATTCTCTGCTTTCAGCCAAGATCCATCTGACATCAGCAGTGCTATCCCTCATTCCATGTCCTCTTCTGAGTTTAGCTTGAATTTCTGGCAGTTCCCTGTCAACGTACTGCTGCAATCATTTTTTAATTATTTTCAGCAAAAATGCAGTTAATACGACTAAATATTTTTCTTTCAGAATTATGTTTAAAGGCATGATCTATAGGTAAAGTCACTCAGTTTGGCCCAGGAATCACTCCTTAAATTACATAGCCATATGTCAATTCTAGTGCTAAGCCATCAAACTTAACTCTGCACACTGTTATAATAAACCAAAGCCAGAGGTTCAGCATTGTGCCTTCCCCTCTATCACCTATGTCTTCTGCCTTTCTAGAACTTCTTTTTCTCTCCTCTACTACATTGCACTATGCATTTCCTTTCCTCTTCCCCCTTCTCTCTCCATCCCATCATTGAGCCAAGTACCACCTTTTCAAAGCCAAATTTCTGATGCCTCTCCAACAACACCTTTTCCTCTTTAACAAAATGGTATTCCCTAGTTCTTGGAAATTTTACTTGAAGTATGAAAAGGATTTAACAGCATTTTCTCTTTCTCTTTAGTTTCTGGCTTGGGCTTTGGAATCATGAGTGGAGTGTTTTCCTTTGTAAATACCTTGTCAGACTCCCTGGGACCAGGCACAGTGGGCATCCATGGAGATTCTCCCCAGTTCTTCCTTAATTCAGGTATGTGCTAGGTTCAGGTTTCTCATTTGTTTTTATAACATTTTAGAAGTTTTAGCTATTCAGTCTGTCCATCTTTTCTTTGAGGCAGTTCAGGGTCCATTCTCATTTCATGAGGAGGACTTTAAAAATACAAAAAAGGTAGTGGCTTCCCCACAGCAGTCCAGTGATTTAGGGCAGGAACTGGGACAATGTCTATGTTATCATCCTTATTGGAGTTCACTGGCTTCAGAGTTCAAAGTTATATTACCTCTTCTAACAGCAAAATACTGATTGGCATTACAAAGTAAGGGACCAAAGAAAATAAAAATTTGATTAAAATGCTTTAGAATTTTAGAGTAGAATTTAGCTTGCATAAAATTTATTTTGATTTTACTGTGCTAACAACTTTGCTATATAGATGAAATACAGAAATTAATTTTCATAGGCTATGTTCTTTTTTAGTATTTAGTAGTATGAATTTATCTTCAATATAATCCTCAACCTTTAATTTGTCATCTTGGACCCTTTTGGGGTTATCAAACCCAACCCACTGCTATCAAGTCGATTCTAACACATAGTGACCCTATAGGACAGAGTAGAACTGCCCATAAGGTTTCCAAGGCTGTAAGTCTTTATGGAAGCAGACTGCCTCATCTTTCTCCTGCAGAGTGGCTAGTGGTTTTGAACTGCTGACCTTTCGGTTAGCCACTGAATGCTTTCACCATTGCATGCCCAGAGCTCCTTCTTTAGGGGATAGGTAGTATAATTTATTCTTGAAATTGAGAATAAGGGCAAAATGATAATAGATAAATTGATCTTTTTATCCAAAGATGCAGTATAAAAGGACCAACTCATTTCAAACTTTTTTCCCACCAGATAGAAATTGTCCTGGTGAAGTGATCACAAATTGGAGAGTTGGTAATTGTCTTCGTTATCCAATGCTACTATCACAGAAATACCACAAGTGGGTGGGTGTAACCAACAGAAATTTATTTTCCTCATTGTTTAGGAGGCTCAAAGTTCAAATTCAGGAGGCCAGCTCTAGAGGAAGGCTTTTCTCTCTCTGTTGGCTCTGGGAGAAGGTCCTTGTTCCTTGTTGATTTTCATGTGGCTTAACATCTGTCTTTCCCCATCTCTGCTTGCTTAGTGTGCCCTTTCATATCTCAAGATGTTGACACAAATTATACCCTGCACTAATACTGCCCTGTTAACATGTATATATATAAACAAGGGAAGCCATTTCCAAATGGGATTATAACCACAGGCATAACCAAGCCATCTGTTACTGAGTCAATTTGGAGGGTTTAGGATTTACGACACACATTTTGGGAGGAAACAATTCAATTCATAACAATAATATACAAACTACCATCAAACAAACAAACAAACAAAAACTCACTGTCAGTGAGTTAATTCTGACTCATAGCAACCCCCATTGGGTTTCTAAGGTTGTAAATCTTTATGAAAACAAACTGCCTTATCTTTATTCCACAGAGCGGCTGGTGGATTTGAACGACTGACTGTTTGGTTAGCAGCCAAATGCCTAACCACTACACCACCAGAGCTCTTTAAGGCTTCCTAAAATCCTCAAGTCTTTAAAAATAGGAAGAAATCCACTGTATTTTTGGTTATCACAACATACATGTCATTGAAATAGTGACCCCATGCATGCATTCTTTTAATTAAGTCATTTATTTTACTTCTATACTAAAGTATAAAGTAGGAAAGTCAACTGCGAAGGAACTGTTTCAAGTGCTGAGGAGCAAGGATATCTCCTTGAGGACTAAGGTGCGCCTGACAC